GACACTCACGAGCTGCTTCAGCAGGAATGGGAGGATGTCCTCCAGCGCCTGGTGGCCGATGGTGGAGTGCAGTTGCTCGAACGTCTTGGCCGCCGCCTCCCGGACCTCCTCCAGGGGGTCACACAGCGCCTTCCTGGCCGTGGGCACCAGGGACTCGGAGAAATACAGTACCTACGAGAATCAAGGCTCCGCTGTGCTGAGGAGGGACAAGCAGAGGGCAAAGCAAGCCAGGGGCCGCGAGGAAACCCAGGCCCGGCCAGCACAGCCCTGTGGCTCGGACTCTGTTTCCCACTGGATACCAACGTTCCAGCATTAAGGAGCAAAGACGAGCCACGAGGCAGGCCCCGTGAGTGGAGAATCAGCAGGGGGGTATTTTACGTGAACTCTGATACCCCTTCTTCTCCCCCGGCCACCTCTCCCTGCTCTATCCTCCTGGAAAGATCAGGTCCTTCCAGGTCTTTGGTGGGCAGTGGGGTCAGCGAGGGCCCTTGTTCCCAGTCAAGCTCACTGGGGATTCGAGCTACCAGGCGGCTAGCCACAGGACCCAGGGCCCCCCACGAGACTAGGTCTCTGTTTAACGAGACACCACTTGCCAGCTGCCAGGTACAAACACAGGCAGAAGCTGGGCCTCACGCAGACGGTCCGTCGGACCGGGGTGCCTGGCCTTGCTCCCGTGTCTCCCCGGCCCTCTGCTCAATCGCTTCAGCGCTTTTCCCTAACTAAGACACCACTTCCTCAACCTGCTCCCCAGGGATGTGTGCGGATCAGTCACCTCCAAAAGCACGGCCAGTCTCAAGTGCTCCAAAGCCCAGGGATAGGGAGACCATGCAGTCCCACCCCAGGGCACTGCAATCTGGCCTAGGCCACTCCTTCAAGGACTGGGAGCATGCCCCCTGCCCCCCAGAGGGGAGGGAAAGCCTCGGGCCTCCTCTCCTAGCCTGGAACACCTGTGGGGAAGCAGCAAGGAGGGGCGCTGGCATCAAGTGGGGCCCAGGCAGCAGGCATAGCCAGCAGTGCCCTAGGGTGTAGGTCTCTCAGGGTGAAGCATCCCCAGCCACTCACAGCGTCACGGCTGGTGGACTTCATGATCTCGCTCAAGCCAATGCACACGCCCTGCCGCTCGTCGCTCTTGGGCGAGCGCAGGCCTTCCTCCAGGATGGGGATGATCTCAGGGAGGATCTTCTCCCCCAGCTTCCGGACCAGGTCTCCCAGCGTCCTCGCGGCGATCTGTGCCCACAGAGACAGTCAGCGCCTGGGCTGAGTCTGTGCCACGGCCTTTGCTTCCCAGCTGCCCCTGGGGGTACGTGAGACACCCACACACCCCTTCCTGGCCTAGAACAATGCCAGCACCTGCTACAGGGGCATGAGGGCCCCTGTGCTTCTCACCCAAGGGATGGTAACCCTGGAGTTACCCTGCAGCCTCAAAGTCACGAAGCTTGCTACACTCTCACTCAAGCAGAGCTGGGCATGAGACAAATGCTTGAGGGGGAAAAAACCATCTCCTCGCAGTGTCATGAGCCCCCGCCCCCACCCTCCGAGAGCCAGCGGCACAAGCTGCTTTCCCAGGAAGGGAACAGAGGAGGGCCAAAGGGGACTGGCAGAAGTGGCCCACAGCACAGGCGGAACCTCCCAAAACTGACCACGGCCAGCGTCATCTCACGCCACGCTGGCTTCTCCTCCCTGCTTCTCAGCCACCGTGATCCCGCCCACCACAGGGCTGTTGCACATCCGGTCTTGAGGCAAGAGCAATAGGATCCCTCTGCATGGCTCAGATGTGTGCAAGGACTTACACACCTTCAGCAGCACGTCTTCTCAGAAGCCTTCCCTGGCCCGACTGTGCGGACTGCCCCAACTGGAGCTTGCCAGGTGGTGTGACAGCATGGCGAATGCCCATCCCCTGCACTCCCAGACCGTGGTCCCCAAGGATGCGGAGAGAAGCCAGGCTGGCTTAGCTTCTGTCCGAGCCCAAGTGAGAGGACGGTGGACTGAACAAGTACACGAGAGACTGGTCCCAGCACTGGCCTCTGTCCTGGCCCCTCCTCCTGCGGCCACTGCAGACCCGGCTCTGGAAACTCACCGTTCTCTTGTCTGCACAGGTACTGGCCAGGAAGCCCAGCAAGAGCCCAAAGAGAGTGGGCAGGATCTCGCGCAAGGTGCGGGGCGTGTTGGAGACCACGATCTTCCAGACGTGCAGGGACGCCTGTCGTACGACCAGCTGCGTGTCCGAGCGGCCCATGTAGAGACCCGCCAACACGCGGTTCCGCCGCTCCACGCCCAGGGCTGTGATGATCGCCTGTGGCCGGCGGTGGCGGCAGCAGCGGCGGCACAATGGAACAGAGCACAGCGGTGTGAGCGAAGCCCGGGGCCTGGGGGCCACATGCCTGGCCCCACCACCCACAGCACGAGGAGGGTCCCGCCGGGCGGGCAGCGGGCACCTTGTTGGACTGGGCAGTTCCAAAGTTGTCATCTTCGGAAGCCGTCTCAGTGGTCATTTTCCCCGTAACTCCCGAGATGTGGAACAAGAGGTCCCCAAGGAGCTGGACGGAGCTGAACCTGAGGAGGACGTCGGGAACAGTCACACAGCTTCGAGGGACAGACTCACAACCGAGCCACATTGACAGACAACCGGGAGAGAAAACAGCTGCCCGCCAGGAAGCACACGCATGACCAGATCATGGCGAGTCTCTCTGCTTCGGGATGGCCTGGCGATTTCTTGAAGAGAGGCCGTTGAGGGAAAGAGTGTGCATGACACACAGCGGCCTGCCTGGTGGCTACACACGGCGCTACTGACCACCGGGGAATATGACCGGGAACCAGACACCCTGATCATCACTAGCCGAAAGACCAAAGGGAGAAACCTTACTTCTCAGTAGATCTGGTCTCACTTTAAAGCCACTAAATATACTAGCAAGCCGAAAAGGGAACCAGGGGTCCTGATCGGAAAAGAAGGACACACTCTAGCTCTGGTCCGATTCAGTTAGACTTCATCTTTAAGGCTACAATAATTACAGTCATACTGACTCTGTGAAAACAGAGCAACACAAGAAAAGCAGACACAGAGTTTAAGCAATCGCCAAAACTCCCCTTTCTCAGGTGACCTGGGACTCTGGTGACAATCTTGTCACACACCTCTCGCTTCACAAAGAGGCCCCTAACCATCCCAGCCTCCAACACAGGTCAGGCCCGCACATGCCAGGCCCACCTCCATAGCTCAGGCTACTACAGACCCCGGCCTCCTGGCCATGGCTTGATCTGACTCAACAACTCTTACCACGTCCACTGCATGGACGTCCACTGCATGGACGGGCTGTGACTGTTTGAGAGCCGTCTCCCATTTGTTCAAATGAGAAACAGTAACCCCCAACCAAACCCAGCCCATCCAGTCGATTCCGGCTCACAGGACTCCTACAAGGCAGAGCAGACCCGCCTTGTAGACTTTCCAAGGCTGAAAATCTTTACAGGAGCAGACAGCCTCAAACCCGTGATCCTTCCGTTGGAAGCGCTTAAACCACTACGCCACCAGGGCTCCACGATATACTTGCACCCCTCTTGGCGCATTTGTCGCACTTCATCAGACAAAGTCCTAGAGGTGCAATTCCCAGCTCTGAGCTCTGCTGATTTGGCACAGCGGGCAGACCGAAGACCGCGAGGCGAGGCTGCCCCAGAGTGAGTGCCACCGGGGGCGGGAAAACCACACTCTGCTCTCCCTTTGCCCACCGAGTGCCAAAGGCACCCACCGCCGAGCCCATCCTCACCTGATTCTCCAGAGGTCGTCGAACAGGCCCTGCTCCAGCTGGGGCAGCAGTAGGGCGATAGCTGTCTCTGCGTACTTGGAGATGACCCGCTGCCCCGCTCGCAGCGCTGTGTCCCGCACAAACTCATTCTCATCAGCAAGAGCCTGTGCACCAAAAGGGTGGCTCAGCCAGGGCAGCCAGCTCCCCAGGCAGGCACCGAGGCCTGAAGGAGGTGAGACTGCAGGACTAGCCCCAGGAGGGGGAGCCACCAGCCCACCATCCTCAGCACAGCACCCAGAACCTACTTTGAGGATGCAGGGGATAATGGGTCCAACGTAGGGGGTAAATTTGTCCCCAAAGGTGATGGGCAGGTAGTTGAACATCATGATGTAGCCATCTCGGACGTGAGGGGCAATGTCTACTTTGCTGGCCGTAGCCACAATTTCCGGCATCAGCTTCTCCAACTTCTCGACCCCCAGGCCAGCCATGACCTCAGCCAATCCTGTAAGAAGTAGACAGCATGAAGGGCCCAGAGGCGGGGACCCATGAGGGCTCTCCTGGTCCGGCCTCAACCCACGCGGGCCTCACCTTGCGCCGCGCCAGAGCGGTCCACGGAACTCTGCTCGTAGGTCAGCGTCTCCATGAGCCACGGCAGCAAGTCCTCAAAGCAGGACTCCCCCATGCCCTTCACCATGGCCCCCAGGGCCTTAGCAGACACTGTCCGCACCTGTCAGGCAGACGCGGGCGGCGATGTGAGACTCCGCACAGCCAGGCCCCCACCATACAGCCACAGCGCAGCCGCTGTCGGGAGACCTCAGGAGTCCATTTTCTGGGGACTGGACCGAGGGAATGCGCTCCCCTCCTCCCACTACGCTCACCTCAGGCACAGGGTCCAAAAGGGAGGTTTTCAGGCCCGGGGTCACGCTGGGCAGGTAAGGAGCCAAGTCCTGCAACAACACGAGAGGGACTCAGGTGCTGCCTCTGGCTCCTCCGTTCTGCAGGGAGCCTCCGCTGACTCAGCACGAACAGCTACCAGCTAGCTCGCAGGGGAGGAGAGGACAGGCCGCCGCGTCAGCTCGCCACACTGAGTGTGCGCCTTCCTTCCAGGCCCTGCGCAATCACTTGGGGGGACAGACCTATGAGGGACCCAAGAAGGAAACCCAGGCCCACCCACAGCCGGGCAGGCAGAACTTCCACAGTGGTTCAGGCTCAGACACCTCCGATCCCTCCTTTGAACCAGGACCTGCTCGGCCTCCGGAATCTCTAGGAACTGGTTATGTCGGACACTTTCGGAATTTGATGGTCACCCCCATCTTCTTCATCTTACGTGCTGGCATCTCTGGATTCGGCTTTGGGGACACCGCTCTTCATGCTCTCTGCAGAATCGTTTAACGCGGCCGAGAACTTTGGGAACTACACGGCCCACGATCAAGTTAGAAGATACGATATATAAACTTGTCGGCATAAATTACAGCTCTTGCAAGCACGTGATGAACAACATGCTATGCTGGAAGTAAGTTTATCTTTGGAAACGTAATTTTTAAAAATTACCAGTACCTGTTTGGGTGTCAGGGGCCCCTGGATACAATACTTTGTTCTTCCCAGCTTCCAGCGATGTGGACTGGGAGCTCACATAACCCAGGCTCACAGGAGCAAATAAACACACGCACCCAGCACATTCAATCGGGGCCTGTGTCCCTGGGTGGTCAGAAAACCTGGCAAGTCGACCAAGGAGCAGCCACTTGGCCAGCATCATTGGAAGCTCACCTCCCTCAGTGGGGTGGGCCTCCCAAGGATACAAAGCAAAGGCCGACTGGACCACTGTGGTCAGCAAGATGCCCAAGGTGTCCAGATGTCTACACCTCCGTGCCCACACCAGCTAGTGCGTCCTAGGCGGCCAGCCGGCCATTACCTTCTGGTCTGTCAAGGAGTACATGTTGCCAATGATCTGCGCTGCCATCTTGCGCGTGTCCGTAGAGCGGTCCTGGAAGGCTCTCTGGACGATGGGCATGATGAGGGCCAGGGATGGGGCGTCGATGAAGTGGACGAACTTGGTGTCCAGTAGGGTCTGCAAGCATTTCTGGGTCTTTCTGGATGGGTCTGTCAGGGCGTCCAGCAGGACCGGGGCAATGGCTGCAGGTCCCAATAGGAGAAAGATGGGTTCATGGTGGTGGGGGTTAGTCATGTGGGCTGCTAACCAGAAAGTCAGTGGTTCAAAGCCATCAGCTCCTCTGAGGGAGAAAGATGAGGCTGTCTGTTTCTGTTAAAGACTGACACTCTCAGAAACCTTATGTTGGGTCGCTCTGAGTCGGAATCAACTCGATGGCAGTGGGTGGACTGAGAGACTAGTCAGAGGCCCCAGAGCACAGAGGAGGAAGCACTGGAACCCAAGGCCTCCCTGAAGCCCCACGAGTTGCCAGCAGGGGGCCAGCCTGTCTGCTCACTCCACCAGCAGGAAGTGGAGGTCGCTGCATCCCTCTGCCCTGCAGAGCTGCCACTGAGGGCCCTGTGGACTGTTCCAGGGGGGTGAGGTGCCGCAACACTGTCCAGCCCCACGGGAGCTGGGGCCTCGATTCTGGAAGCATTCACAGTGTGGCTTTGTGAAGCAACTCCTTTGAGACATCAAAGGCCCCTGAACCACAACGGGGTGAAGAACAAGGAGCTCAGAGCATCACCGGGATACCTGTCTGTCACAAGCCCGGAGAAATGCACGACTAAGGCAACAAACAAGCCCCCAAAGGGTATAGTTTTAACAGAAACTCCCCCATCAGTACAGAAGATATGCCGATAGTCAACAAGCACACCAAGGGCCGTTCAACATCAAACCCGAGCCACACCTGCGGCACCACGCCAGGCCCGTTGCCTTGAGATGCTTCGGACTCCTGGGGACCCTGCACATGCCGTAAGATGTCTAGGCTGCCATCTCTCAGACAAGGAGCCCCGGTGGTGCTCCACGGGAGCAGGATGAGGCCATCTGTTTCCATAACGATCTGCAGCCACGGCAACCCCGCGGGGCAGCTCTGCCCTGTCCTACAGGGTCGTGGTGAGCCGGAGTCAACCGGACAGCCACGGGTCTGAGTGCTTTTCTGCATGTGGGGAGGAGCGTCACATAAACGAAGCAGTCGCTGCTGTGTGCTGTCGGGTGGATTCCCACTCGTGGCAGTCGTGGGACAGAGTAGAACTGCCTCCCCAGGGTCTCCCAGGCTGTGATCTTTATGGGAGCAGACAGTGACATCTTTCTTCCCTGGAGCAGCTAACGGGTTCGAACCACTGGCCTCTTGGTTCAAAAGCTGAGCACTTTAACCACTGCTCCACACATTAGTCTTGACAGAAGCAACTGGCCAGGCCTTTCTTCCGCAACACCATTGGGTGAGTTCAAAAGAGCCTTGGGGTTCTCAGCGTGAGCACTGAAACCACTGGGCTGCCAGCGCTCCTCTCCCACCCCGTGGGACGACTCGATTCAAGATGACCGACAACCGCAAGCCCAGACAAGGACCGACGGGCAAACAGACGACGTCCACACCATTTCCAGAAGGACCACCAGGACTGAGGAGCACTGCTTACCCAGGATCTCTGGGTTCCTGATGACGGAGCCGATCTGCCGCAGCGCCTGCTGGCCGGCCTTCTGCACTTTGACGTGGGAGTCCGTCAGCACCTCTGTGAGCTTGGGCACGATGCTGGGCAGGCAGGAGGACAGCTGCTTGGGCGCACAGTAGGCCATGGCCCCAAGCAGCTCCACGGACCCTGTGGACAGACATTGCCCAGTCACCTGGCGGCTCCTCTGCAGACACAGCTCCTGAGGCCTGAGCCCTGGAGGCTAGGCTGAGACATGGGATTGTTGGGGGTTTTTATTTGGGGGAGAGGGAGGCCACGGACCAGGCCCAGGCTTGATGGGGGACCAGGCCATTTCCCTTCTTGGGTCTGGCCTCAGTTTCCCCATCCACAATCAAGGAAACAGACCTAGCTAGATTTGTGATTTTCCAAACAACCAAGAGGGACCCAGCAGGACAGATGTCCAATGGAAGAGCTCCCAACCCTGACTCTGCCCCAAACCAGGGCAGCTGCCCTAGCTGCTGGGCACTTTAAAGTTCCAGAGGAGATGGCACTTTCTAGGCATTTCAGTGTGTGTGTCTGGTGGGGGCGGTGCAGGGGGGTGGTGGTGTGGGGGGGAGGGGCACAGAGCCAGGGAATCTTAAGAGAGGGACTTTCACAGGCCAGGGCTGACAGCCGTGAGGCTGGGGCTCCGCCAGCCCTGCGCTCAAACTGCCAGGGTACAGAATCAGGCCCCCCTGGGCTGGGGACTGAGGGCCACACACAGGACGCATGCTGTGGGAGCTGAGTCCCTGCTGAGAGCAGGGCGGGGCCCGGTGGTTACCGGCTTTAGTCCTCCAGGACTCCTCCTCCAGGGCGGCCAGCAGGGAGGGGAGCACCAGCTTCACCCCGTGAGCACTCAGGTTGCTCATCACAGCCTTGGCACAGTCATCTGCAGCCTCAAGGAGGAGAAGATGCGTTCAGGGTCTCCCTGCCCCAGTACGGATCAGGGCCCAGGGCCAGTGCCGTACCCAGCACTCCTGTCATGGGGGGTCTCTGTCTATACTCAGAGGAGTCTCCGTCAGCCCTTCATGGAGGGGAGGGTGTCTCTGTCCGAACTCCTGGGGGAGGGCGTCTCTGTCATCACCCATGGGAAGGTCTCGGTCAGTGCTCGTGTGGGGGGTGGGGGGGAGGTGGTTTCCGTCAGCACTCCTGGGGGTCTCTGTCAGCACTCACAAGGTTCTAAGGCAGGTCCTATACGACAGGAGATGGTTCTCATCCTGCCTCAGTGCCGAGATGTAGGCAGAGGGGTACTCTGAGGGGAGGAGCAGCAGGGGCCTTAGCCCCCTCCAGAGGCTAGGCTGCCTGCTTCTCACACGCCACAGGTGGGCCTCTGGCTCTCTCCCACCTGCAGCCGCCTCGGGACCTACCTCACGCACGTACTGGTTCCCGTCGCCAAAGCAGAGCAGCAGGTGGGGCAGCACATGGACCACGTAGGGCTCAAAGAGCTTCCCCAGCATGGTGCACAGCATCTCAAAGGCGAACAGGGCCCCTGACGGGTGGGAGGGAGGGAGGGGGCCACTGAAAACCCAAGGGGCTGGCGAGCTCCCTGCCACCTCCTGTCCCCCACGAAGCACTTGGGACTGCCTGGCCCGGGAGCAGCAGCCGGGGTGCCACAGCGCACAGCTGCGGCAAAAGGAGCGGAGAGAGATTTCTAGCCACTAGAAAGGCAGTACCCCAGCCTGTTGTTGAGTTAGCACAGACCACCGTGGACCGTGTGATCACGGGCCCAGGAAGAATCAGGGATACACACACACACCGGTCCCCGAACCACCACCACCAAGGTGGGCTGATAAGGAGGCGAAGAGGCCAAGAGGCCCTCCCTGGCCGCTTCACACACTCAGAGCCACGCACCTTCTCGCCGGCGGAAGTTCTTCTTGTCCTGGATGGCATCGGTCAGCGTGGCCATCATCTCCTGCTGCTTGAGGGAGAGGATGCCCAGGCCCTTCACCAGGCCGGCCAGCCCGTAGGCGGCGCCCCTGCGCTCGGCATACTTGTCCGACTCCAGCAGCTGCTGCATCAGCCTCTGGGTCATCCCCCCGGCGTCCTCCTTGATGGCCGGGACGAGCGGCGGCAGGCAGCTGGCCACCGACTCCTGGACCTGAGGAGGGCACCTCTGAGTCAGAGCTCACTGCAAAGTGTCCCCCCCAAACCCACACAATCCCGGCCATTCCGGTGCCACTGCCACCACACCTTCATCGTGGCCCTTGTGATAATCTGCCACGGACCGACTGGAGAAGCTAGGCCAGAATGCAGGCCAGAAAGCGTGTTATTACTGCTCCCCCTAAAGCTCAGCCCATGTCTCTGTGTTTCAGACTTTCGGTATGTCAGGAAGAGCTAATATAGGACTAGGAGCCCCCTGCCAGCCACAGTGAGAGCCAGCTGCAGCCCCCGGGCCCAGTAGCATAGCAGAGCACGTGCTTCCTGGTGCCCGAGAGGACACCCCCCCCCGCCAGCAGGCTGGTTTCCCTGAGGGAGCACTCCGGAGCCCAGCTCTGCGGCCGTTGGCTCCTCAGCTGAGTGTTTCCCGAGAAGCATGTTTTACCAAAGGAAGGGGAAAAATCCTTACACTGGGGCTTGGAGGCTGCAGAGAAAGGCACTTGCCAGGTATCAGCCACACGTGGCAAGGACGAAGGACAGGCCTGACACAGAAGGGCCCCCGCCTTTTTCTATCTGGGTCTCGGGGCCCTGGTGCATGGTTTAGACTGAGGGCCAAAAAAGGTGGCCATGAGTTACTGAGCGGCAAAGAGAAGACTGGGAACTCCCCTTCCTGAGCTGCGCTGCAACCCTAACGCCGAAGCGTGTCAACAGAATCACGAGCCAGCATGAAGCCAACAAGGACACAGGTGGGTGATGTGCCGAATGATGGGGGGTATACACACACACACACACACACACACACACACACACTCTGCAGCCCAAGCATACTGAGCAAGACCACAGAGAAGGCCTGCCACCCTGCTCCTCAGGGGTCCTGGCCACGAACCCGGCTGTTCCATGGGAGATGGGCTAGCTGGGTCACTCACCCAGCTCTACCCCCTGCTGCCCTACTGCCCATCCCAACCCTGGGCCCCAATTCCTCAACAGGGCCCAGGGGCCCCAGGCTGAGTGGCAAGTACCTGCTGGGATGGGGTAGAGAGGGCAGCGATGAGCTTGGCCACAATGGGCTTCACTTTGGGGTCGTTCTTGTCCAGGTGCTTGGCCAGGGAGCCCATGAGGACCACCACGCTCTGCCGCACGGCGTCGTAGCTGGCATCAGTGGGCGCGTCCTTCAGGAACCCCTCGAAGACCGGCAGCAGCGAGTTGACGTTCTCCTGGGAAACAGAGCCCCCCTGGGACCTCAGGCCGAGCCTGGAAAGCCTGGCCCCCAAACCACTCTGCAGGCAGGCAGCAGGCCCACAAGGGCTTCACCATGATCCAAAGGGGGTACCGTGGCAGTCTTCCGCTAGGGTGGTGGGAGCAGCTCGGAGAGCAAAGGCCAGCATTTCTGACCCTGCCTTCTGCCTGCCTTCCAACGGCACCCTGGCCGGCTACAGCCCTCCTACCTTCCCGTGCGTGTTGAGCGTCTCCAGGGCTGCGTCTAACATGCACTTTCGGACATCGGGGTTGCGGTCATTGAGGGCATCGGGGACGAAGAACTGGAAGAGGGGCTTCACCTGAGAATTGTCCAGACCCTGGGAGAGCTTGTTCAGGGCCAACGCCAGGCCACACCTAGGGAAGAAGGGGGGGTGGGCAGCACCGAGGGGTCCCGGCTGCTGTTGAGAGCCACCCCATCCAGCCCCAAGGGAGTGCCATGCAGCACGGAGTCCACGGCCGATGCTGACCCGTCAATATGGATGGCCCACCTGGACATGCCACACACAAGCCCATCTTCCGCCTGGCGTTTATCTCCTACAGGTGGCCCGGGGCAGGGGACCAATTCTGCTGTGTGTCCCCATGTGAGTGCAATGCCTGCACTCCCAACCTCTACAGTAGTTTATGACAGGGATGTGCCCAGATAGGAGCCTCGCCCACCCAGGAAGAGTGACACTGTTCTTCCAGGAGACAGGGCAGGAGCTGTGGCGTTTGCAAACTGCGGGGCTGGCAGGAAAGCAGACTAACCCGCCTGAATGAGCTGGATCAGGAGAGCGAATGTCGGCTGAATGCCGCTTACCCGCCCCCTCTGGGCAGGCACTTGTTCCCTCACCCTAGAGCTGGGGCTGCTAGGCTCAGTGGAGGGGGCGAGCACCCACAGAGCACCTCACATGCTGCTTAGTGGCCGATCCAACCACCCCGAGGAGGGCCTGTGGTGAAGCCCAACTCCACAGGAGGGGGCAAGCCCACGGATGCACAGCCCGCACAGAGGGGCCGGCTCTGGAAGTAAGGCTGCCGATACCCAGGTCACACTCTTTCCTGCCACTCCCCCACCTTCTCCCAATCCCACCCTGGCCACCAGCTACATTTTATACCAGCTCTGCACGGGACGGCGACAGAAACAGAACAGCTGGTCTACCTGGCTTCCCACTGATCTGGAGGTGATTCTGAAATAACACGTCCCAAGGCATCCAAAACTGGGGGGGGCCGCTGCAATAGACAAGAGAACACATGCATGGTGCTGCTCTCCGAGCAAAGTCACGGTGGGCCAACACTCCAGCCAGGCCGGGGCCTGGGCCTGGGCAGGCAGGATCCCAGCCTACCCCCAACACACCCCACCCTGGCACACGCCCACTAGCACTCACATAGAGCTTCTCCTGGTACAGCTCCATCAGCTTGCCCAGGACTTCCGCCGCCCGCCACTGGTAGCGCGCCACCGCCTGCGCCAGGGCCTCGGCCCCAGCCTGCCGCACGGCCGCCTCATGGTAAATCACGTCATCAATCAGCAAGGAGCAGAGGTCAGGCTGCAAGTCCAGGGCCATCAACGACCAGAGCCTGCGCAGAACACAGCCGAGGTCAGGTCAGACCAGACGCAGCGGCCGAGCCAAGGGAGCCCTGTGGCCGAACCTCTGAAGAACCACTGTGGCCACACCCCACCATCCTGGGATCCCCATGGACCCAGGCCTCTTCTCCACCCTGAGCAGGCCCCTCTTTCAGGGGGTGGGGAATGAGATGGGGAGCGGGGAGTAGCACCGGGAGATTCAGGCCTCCAGCCACCCTCACCTCCCAGCCAGCTTCTGGATCTCCTCCTCCTTGTCGAACTTGACCACCCAGAGCCGCCGCAGTAGGTCCAGGCCGTTCTTCTCGTCGGTGTCGGGCACGGGCAGCACCATGTGGAGCTCCATTAGCCCCTGGAAGGAGTGGGGTGCAAAACAACTGTGTGAGGTACCCCTGGCCTTCCTCTGAGGCTGTGATCCCCAAGACGTAGCCATTAGCCACAGGTGGCTACTTAAAAGTGCAACCAGCCCAGAAACGATCACTCGCGCAGTGCCTCCACCCCTCCGGCCACACATCGCGTGGTCCGTAACCACGTGGCTACAGGCTCCCAGAGTGGACACTTCCCTCGCTGCAGTAGGGATGTCCTGAGTGCCGGGCAGCAGCTCAGCCCACTGGCTGCCCAGGGTATCCTAGACAGCTCTGCTCTGGTGAACAATGGTGGGGTGCTACCACGGCTGTTCCTTCAGAGGTTCGGCCAGAAGCAAGGCTGGCGAGACTCAGTCTCCCGTCCCTAGGACCCGTGTTCAGGAGGGACCAGTCCCTGGGGAAGGACATCGTGCTCGGTCAAGCGGGGAGGTCAAAGGGCAAGAGGAAGAAAGACACACCACCACCACCACCACCACCACCACCACCACCACGAGATGAGCCGACAACGCAGCCGCAACAGTGGGCTGCGGCACAGCAAGGGTGAGGAGGACACCGGGACCCCCGCGTTCTGTACTGGCGCAGACAGGGTCTCTAGGAATCGGAACCCACTCAGCGGCACTGTCTGACAGGGACAAACCTTTTGAAAGGGTCAACTCTAACGAAAGACTTTCCACAGAGGAAAGTCCCGGATGGAATGAATTCAGCTTCAACCAAGAAGTACACCTTGCCCCACATTCCTTAATTTTAACCAGAGACCAGCAAAATAAGCTTGTCCAGAAAACCTCAGCCAGTGGCGTCACCACCACCTCCTCACCACTCCAAAGGCGTTCTTTCAGTTTTGGACCCCAAAGGCAACAACAAGGCAAGGCAGGTGCCAGGTGGTGGGCTGAGAGAAGGCACCAATCCCACGGGCCAGACCAGTCCACAGACATGCCCACCCACCCACACTGCATCTTCGCAAGGGATGAGAACAGTGGACAGCGGGGCTTCCCGCCACCTGTGTAGGTGTCCTGAGTCTCAGGTAAACCGCCAGTCCCCACCCCGTAACCCTTTCTCCCCAAGTATCCAGAGCACACAGGCATGAGGGGCAGGTACGTGGCTCCCGTGAGTGAGGGTAGACTCTCCCACATAGCGACAAGGGAGGCTGGCACGTACCCGGAGCGCAGTGTCCCGCACGCTGGCACACGGGGACTGCAAGGCACTGAGCAGCACGCCCACCTCCTCCTGTTCAGCGAAGGCACAGCCTGCCTTGCCACTGCTGCTGGCACACAGCGTGGTCAGCGTGTCTGAAGCCAGAACCTACAGAGAGCAGACCCGTGGGGTTGAGTGGAGCACCGAGCGTGCCCACTGCGGCCGCCCCACAAGGGGGTCGAGACCCCAGCTCCAGGTCAGGGCTCGGGCGGCAGGGCCCAGGAAACAGAGAAGAAGCAGGACACAGCCCCGCGTCCTCAGAATGACTCCCAGACAGTGACAGCGGCAGTTTAGTGGGGAAGCCACATCACCTGTAAGCGAGGAGATCCCGTCCCGATCACCCACGTCAGCAGGCGCAACATGGCCACACGAGGGAGCAGCTCCGGCCCGTTCTAGGAGAAAACGAGACTAGGCTTGAAACCAAGGCGGGCAGCCTGCACAGGTGACCTCCTGGCCGGGGCACTCACCAGACTCCATGGCAGGAACCCCGAGGTCTACAACCAGCTAGCCTGGGGGAGCTCACCCCAGTCAGCCGTGACGCTCAGGGAAATAAAAACCACCACCGCAGGCTTGTGATTCAAAGCCTATGGCGGGTAGGAGACCCGGAAACGCAGAGATACTCAGCTCCACTGGGACATTTTTAACAGAGACAAAGCGAAACCGGCTGGCGTCCTTTTGCATGAGTCGGGTGGAGGTGAGCACTGTGTGAGGGTGAAGTCGGCCTGGAGAAGAAAGGGGGCCCCCCAGGGCGGCCCACGCCCACTCATTGTCCACAACAGGGAGGGGTCAGAAAGTGAAAGCAGGCACCAATTCATGTTGGCGTCCACAGCAAGGAATCCCACACATATGGCCAGTGTGAGCCCCGTCCCTCCGCCCTGGTGTGGACAAAGGTCCAAGGCACACGCTCTGCTGTCCGCAGCAGCCCTACGACTAGAGAACTCACTGCTCCTGCGGCTTGTCGGAGACTAAACCACTGTGGGAGCAGCAGCAGCAGCTTCCTCCCTGGGGCAGCTGGTGGGTTTGAACTCTCTGACCTCGTGGCTAGCAGCCCAATGTTCAGCCCAGGACACCAACGGGGCTCCTTGCAGGATGCACAGTCATATGGTAAACAGTGACACCGAGCTTTTCGCACGTGCTCACAAATAGTTCACAAGGGCATACACCAAAGAGTCAGCATCGGTCAGCCCCAGGGCCTGGCATTTCCCAGTTAGCTTCTCCAAGGCTGGCAATTTTTAAATGCGCATGCCTTCATTTGACCCATTGTTACGACCTCATGTATTAGACAGTTAACTGAAGGAGGGCCAATCTCATGGCTCTGAGAGAGTCCAAGGGAGACTGCCTCTCAAATCTTGAGCCAGAGTTCAAGGGTGACAGACTGACATGTGTGTGTTCTCCGCTCTCCCACCCGTGGCCCCCCCAACCCTCTCCCCCCCTGAAGCATGTGCCGACAACCCTCGCCTCGATGCCTGTGGCGCCAACCCCATTTACGATCTGAGCGGCAAGGATGAGCGTGGCGTGGTGTCCGGAACCACTCTCTTAGGAGCTATGACAGAGAATCCGCACACCGGGAGCGAGTGAGAGAAAGAGATGGAAGAAAGAGTTGCCAAGACACGTGGGATCTCCAAGGAGCCGAGAAGCAGAAATGTCTTCCTGGAGAGCTGGCGCTCTGAATTCAAACGCCTCGCCTCCTGAACCGTGAGAGAGCCTGTCTGTCTGCTCAAGCCTCCGTGTGGCATTCCTGCTAAAGCAGCCCTGGACGATGATGGCAAACCGTGGTGCTGAGAGTGAGGCGCCCCTCTCACGTGAGCCTCAAGTGCAGAAGTGGTTTTGGAGTCGGCTTCTGAGTAGACACTGGAAGAGCTTTCAGGCACTCAAGCACACAAGCACCGGTGACCTTGGTAGCATTGCAGACACCAAAGGCAAGGCTGGTGAGGGCTGAGAAGGAAGTAGGAGAGCTACAGAGCAGGTCGCTGCCACCTTGAGAGCACACAGGCACCGGAAACAAAATGGTGCTGACGTGTGGATGTCATGTGGGCTTGTGATGAGGCTGGACAAGGAAACGGTGAGCATGGGACCGGACCACAGAGGAAAGGTGAGGCCTTTTATCCAGTGGCAAAGCACATGCCCGAGTTACGTTCAAGTGTGTGGCGGAAAGGAGAACTTGCAAGCAATGAACTTGGGCATCGGGCTGATAAGAATTCTCAGTTGGATGCTAAAAGAGCTGCGTGGCTTCTCCTTGCCTCTTCTGTGAAAATGAGGATAAAGAGAGGAATCCACTCATGAGCCGAGCAGAGTGAAAACAGAACTCGCCGACGGAGGAGCCTCTGTGGCATCGCCCCAGGGGAGGCGTCCCAGGGTCTTCCCTGAGGGTGTGGTTACATCATGTTCTGTGAGAGAGCAAGGTAGTGAGGGATGGACCTAACCAACAATCCCAGCAGCAAGACCACGGTGTAGACTGGAAGGACCAGAGACAGCGAAAGGAAAGAAGCTGTCTGCAGCCCGGAAGTCTACAGGCCAATGGAGCTACAGGTGTTGTCCTCCAAGAGGGAAACAAACAAACAAACAAACAAAAACTAGCTCACCCGTGGAGCAGCTGAGAGATGAGTACCACTGCCAGGAGGAAATCGGGAAGCAGCGCCTTCTCAGTGCCAAAGAGTTGAGACCCAGTCTCTTGGATTCAGAGAGCAGGGCCTTTGTCAGTTTGTTCCAAGTGTAGGGCTGCCATGAAGGTGTATCAGGTGACGAGGCCAATGCCCAAAGCTGAAGGGGTGCGGCTAACATGCCCAAGCGGCAGAACAAGGACTTCCAGAGCGAAGGGAGCGCGGGGTGACCACTCAGTTGGCCTGGGCTCCTAACTGCAAGGTCAGCAGTTCGACACCACCAGCTGTTCCACAGAAAGAAAGATGAGGCTTTCTACTCCAAGAGTCACATTCTTGGAAACCCATGGGGCCAGTTCTACTGTGTTCTACTGGCAATGAGTTGGAATCAATTTGAGGGCAGTGAGTTCTGAGAACACGTGGGAGCCCGAGTTGCCACCCCACGGGGCCCAGAAGTGGAGGCTGAAGCCCAAGGCTGAGGGACCTCACCCAAAATCCAGAGGACCTGGCCAACCCTCAGCCTGCAGGGTAGGGCCTCATACAATTGGCCTAAGGAAGAGGATGGTTTTCAAGCCTCGAGAGATAATGGGATGTGTTCTGCTGGGTTCTGAACTGGCTCCGTGCCCCTGGGGCCTTTTTCCCTCCAATTTCTCCCATGTGAAATGGAAATGTCCATCTTGCTCCTGGTCCCCCAGGTGACTCTGGGAGTGGTCTCGATATCACAGGTTCATGGATGGAGAGGAATTCTGCACTCCAAGATGGAATGCACCTAAAGTCCAACTGACATTTGATTCACAAGATGAGATTTTGGACTTGGAGTTGATGTAAGACTTTTGGAATGAGACAGGGTGGCTCTGTTTTGCATGCGCAAGGTCAGGAATCTGGGGGAGCCAAAGGGTAGTACACTACATATTGGATTATGCCTTCCCCCCACCCAAAAACAAAGGGTTGTAAATCCTAACCCTCCAGACTTGTGGTTGGAATTCCAGTTGGGAAGGGGCTGACTGGGATGCTACTGAGCCAGGATTAGTGGAGAGTGTATCTTGACTCACTCTCCTCTGATATAAAAGAGCTGAAACCAGCCAGCAGTGAGAGATGAGGGAGACAGATGCCAAGACACTCAGAGATCTCCCAGGAACCAAGCAGCAGAAGCTGGAGAGACAAGCTCCTTCCCCTGGAGCTGACAGAGAGAAGGCCTCCGGAGCTGCTGCTCAATTTGAACTTCTGGACTCCTAAACTGCCAAGAGAAGACGTTTCTGTTTGTTAAAAGGCATTTCTGCTAGAGCAGCATTGGACAGCTAAGACATCAGGTAAATGCAAAATCCATCAACATTTTGGGGCCAGAAGCTCAAACCCAAGATATCTGTAAGCTTCCTTGAGCCCGGGAGCTGCTCGAAGAGAGGACCCTGGCTCTCCATGGTGGCAGCAGCCGTTGTAGGTAGAACGACTTAACGACGTCCCCACCAGGAAGCTCCTGCCTCCCTGACCCCATCAGCCAAGGGGAGAGGAGAGTTCCCGCCAACCTCATCCACTCGCCCGGGTGGGGTGCTGGGCGAGGCCCTCAGCTGGGAGTGGACGGTGAGGATCTGCAGGACCTGGGCCATCTGCTCCTCCTCCTCCTCACTGTGGTAGGGCATCTCGGTCAGCACCATCTTCAGAAATGGGAAGACTAAGGAGAACGCGGGTGCAGACAGCGGCGCGGCATCTGTGAGGGCAAGAAGTGGATGCGCCCCGCTGGACTCCTTCAACAGCAGTCACTGGTGGCTCACAGCACCTGGGTTGGGCGCAGAAACCCCCACCAGGTCCACCTCGCTCACTGCCACTCGGCCGAGTCAACAGAGCAGGGAGGGGGCAGGCTCAGAATGCCTGGGGATGCGCCCACACACACAGCCTTCCCACTCCCACGGTGTCCCCTACCCAGCTCGCTCTTGCCCAGCCTGGCGATGGTGTGGGAATGTAGCAGGCTCACAGCCCTCTTCACAGCCACCGGCAGCTCCTCCTGGCACCACGACGTGTCCAGGGCACACTCCGGCTTCAACAGACGCAGGGTCACGTGGCTCACCAGAGTGCCTGCAACCAAGAAAAGGGCCTTGCTGAGGTGCAGATCTGACCCCACCCCACGCAGACACGGGGGCCCCGTGTCTCAGGGCCTCATCCTGGACTTAGAACCCTGAATGCTTGGCCAAAACGGGCTTGACACAATTCCTCACGAGACCACGACGTTGCCCGAGGGTGTGCAAGCAAGGGGCTACCCTTGGGTGACCCAAGAAGGCACAGCCCACACAAAAGTTATTCAGCCGAGAGGAGAGCTCCATCCACAGGGTGCCTCAGCCAGCCGGGCAACAGCTTCCACATGGCCCAGGCTGACTGCCCTACTCAGCCCAGGTCCTGGATACCAGTCTTGCCCTCAGTCGGGAAGGAACTGCTTCTGATCATGAAACCACCCACAAGCTGAAGACCACTGTAAGCGGCCCACCAGCCACTCTAGCTGGCTTTTGTTTTATCCCTCAGTTAACAGAAAGCCAATGGTCCCAGATGCCTCACTGGCTCTGTGACGGCTACTCAGGAGTCCTGGGCTACCCCGAAGGGCCCTGTGACCCAAGACCTGTCCTAATTGTACCAAATGCCTGACTTCTGAATCTCAAACCTGGTCCTTGGCAGGCGGGCCCAGCAGACATTAAGGCAGAGAATACACCCGCTACTCCTTCCGACATGTGGCCTTTGGCCCCTGGGGCTGCCCCCATAGGGAGGAGGAAAGGGAGGCTGCCAGATTTCCACCGGCCTCCCCACACCAACCCCACCCCCATCTCCATGCAGCCAGTGGTCAAGCACTAACCCACAGCCTTGAGTCGAGGGGGCAGGACACAAGCAGCCAAGGACAGGAAAGGGTTCTTGATCCTGGGGGCAGCCAGGGGAGACTTCAGCAGGGGCAGGAAGGCGTCGACCAGCACCGGGACATACTGCGTCAGGCCCACCGGGTTCTTGGCCAGCACGGTGTCCAGCAGTCCGAGGGCTGCCTCCAGCCCACTGTCCAGCTGCAAGCAGAGGTGTCCCAGCACGTCAGCACAGCCCCGCAGCTCAGAAGGCTCAGGGTCGGGAGGGTGGCAGCACCCCCTTACCTCCTGCAGCCGCCTTCGGATCTGGGCCTCCCTGTCCAGCTGGGCCTGCAGCATCTCCTTCTGCTTGCTGGTCAGCGGCACCTCCTCTTTGATGCCTTTCTTCTTCTTTATTTCCTGGGGGGGAAGGGCAACCTAATTCCATTTCCAGGGAACCGGTCTCACTCCGAACCTGGAGAAGGCGAGCTCAGGCCCACCAACGGCACCCTACCCGTACTCAGACCCACCGAGGGGCCTCCGGCACCTCCCACAGAGCCCCCACAGGACGGAGACGAGCTGATGACGACAGCAGGAGAAACGGGACCCCTACAGATGATGGCAAAGAGGGCTGAGGAGGCCCCTGGCCATGTTACAGAACCCAGGGGCCTGCAGTGTACAGAGCAGGGTGTCCTGGTAGCTCCTCCAGGAAGCGACCCCCCACACAAACTGAAACCTGAAAGAGGCCTGCAGGCTGAGATGGTGCACTGAGAAGCCGCGCTTTCATTCAACAAGCGTTTACTGAGCACCTGCGCTGTGCCGGGCCCTGCTCCAGACCACGGACACCTCGGGGAACCAGACAGACAAGGTCCTTGGCCTCTCGGAGCTCAGTCTATCAGGTGAGGACGGACAGACGGAAGCTAAGCACAGGCAGGAGGAGTAAGGGGAGTCCAGAGACCGGCGGGCAACAAGGAGGAAACCCGAAGGATGCACGGTTAAGCGGGCATGGAGCGGAAAGTGGAGACACGTGAGCAGTTGCCGACATGGACAAGAACCCAGACTTGTCGAGAGCCAGGGGAGAACCAAGGGCCCGAGACAGGAGACAGCCTCACCCGAGCAGCACTGACACGGGACCCAGCCCTCACGGCGCTGGGGACAGGCAAGGAGTAAGCACCAGCCCACCAGGCCCCAGTGACAGGAAAAGGAGCTGCCCCATGGGGCGTTCCTGGCTGTTGCCTTTAGGAAGCACCAACAGGTCTCTCTTCCTCAGTGCCACTGAGCTGCTCCAACAACTAGCCTTTCGAGTCGCGGCCGACAGCTGAATGGCTGCACCACCAGGGCGCCTCACACGGTGAATACACCGAAACCCGTTGTCATTGAGTCCAATTCTTACCCATGGAGCCCCCGAGGGGCAGAGCTGGGAACAGCTGCTCAAAGGGGTTTCTGGACTGCCATCTATGCGGGAGCAGGCTGCGGGGTTCAAACCACCCTGCTGTGCAGTTGGCAGCTGAGCAATACCCATAACCAGCAATGCGCATAACCAGGTTGCCTGGCACAGACGATAACAAGAGCACAGAAGTGCACACTGCCATCGAGTCGACCCGGACTCTCAGCCCATGCTTACTGCTCCTCACAACACTGCTGCCCGCACAGGGTGGAGTGAGAAACATGCTCGCGCAGCGGAAGGATGGGGGATCAGAAGCAGCTCCCAGGAAGCAGGTGACCCGGGCACTCACCTCCTTCAGCTCCAGCTCAATGATCTGCTCCTTGAAGGAGTAGGCCTTGTTCTCCCGCTTCATGTTGGCCTTTTTGATGCTGTCCTGTTGGGCGCTGAGACACCAAAGGCCCAGTCAGCCAGGCAGGGACAGGGCCGCCAGGTCTGGCTTCTGGCCAATTCACTGCAACCCTGACATCCCAGCCAGTCTGAGCGACAAGCACCCTCGGCTGCTAGTTGAAAGGTGGGTGGTTTGAGCCCACCCAACAGCACCTTGGGAGGAAGGCCCAGAGAGCTCCTCCTAAACAGCCAGCCCCGAGAGCCCAATGGAGGACTCACAGCTCCCCTCTGAGCCGGCGAGGTCACCACGAGTCAGAGCCGACAAGGTCTCCGGCAATGTCACTGGGCACCAGGAAGGTGCTGGCCTGTGCTCAGGCAGATGGGACCTCACACCCAGGGCCTTAGCACCATGGTCCTGACCGCCACCCACAGAGCGAGGCGTGGGTGCGCGCACAAGGGGCCTCACCTCTGGATGATGGTCTTGTCATACAGCTCCCCGGCGGGGGTCTGCATGATGGCAACCTCCTCCCGTGTGACCTGGCACAGAGCAGGGTTCTGCACAGAGGTCGTGATGGTGCTGATGATCTGCGGGAGGACCCGGTCCGGGGACAGGAGGGAGAGGGAGCCCATGGCGTTCATGGAGGACTGCCGGACAAACAGACCCATCACTATGGGCAGCCACTTGGCTGCTGTGCCCAGCTTCCACCCCGGGAATGGATGGAGCTGCTCTGTCCCTTCCAGAAGAGCAAGTGTGACTCCAGCCGGCAGGGGCAATGAGACCCCAAGCCAGGTGACCCTGCTGGAAAACAGTGGCACCGAGCAGGGACAACAGGGAAGCCTGGGGCTCTATTCTGCTACCAGACAGGGAAAGATGGCCTGAGAGTGGAGCCCACCTGATGTCAAGCAGAGGCAAGAGACAGAGACCGACAGAGGGTGGGAAGGGGCACACCGGAGGCCCCGTGGCCAGCCTCACTCTTGGACTAGAGAGTTAGATGGGGCAGCAGGTTTCCTTTTGTGTTTAAACCAGTCTGCATTTCCTGTCGATGACCAGCCAAGGGCCCCAGCCTTGGCAGCCCTCCCTGCTCCTGCACTCGCCTGGCTCAGCGGGCTCTGGGTGGTGATCCGGGGGATGATGTGATCCAGGTGCCTGCTGATGAAGGCTTCAGGGTCGATCTTCATCCTGGTGAGAAGCGCCGGCCAGAGCCCAGACTGCACGGCCACTGAGGGAGGGAGGTGCTTGAGGCCTCTGCCGGCGTTCACCCTGCCCCGCCACCCCCACACCCACCCCCTCAAACCCGTCCCAGGCCCGAACCTAAGGAGGGGTGGTGGGAGACAATCAGCATCTCCTGGGCCAGCTGCTCCAGGCTAGCAGCGTCCCCCGCCAGCCCTGGCACCCCGGAAATGATGCACAGTGCCTCCTGCAGGACCCGGGGGGGCACGGCAGCCTTGCCCACCTCGGTCCCCTCCCCAGTATCAGTCACCAGAGTCTCGGAGGGCAGCACCTGCATGGAGACAACACTTGAGCCAGGAGCTCTGTACAGCCTGGGCACGTAAAGGGCAGAGACGCTGGGAGGAGATGCCCCCACTCCCTGTTCTCTCAGGGGTGCCTGCTGGAGGGGGACTGGAGCTTCGTGTGAGACCGAAAGGGGAAAGGAGAGGAGAGCCAGCCCAAGATGGGCCAACAGCCCCCATGTGGTATGTGGGCGGGAGCGGAAGCCTGTCCCAAGGGGCCGGGAACGGGAATGAGGCCTGTGGATGGGGACGCTGCAGGCCATCCCAACACTCCCAGCCCTAGACAGCTTATAAAACTTATGGTTAAAAAGTCCTGTGCTGCCTGCTGTTACGCGCACTGTGGGAACTCAGGACGCGTGAGGAAGACATTTTTAACAATTAAAGTGCCCTAAAGGATACAATGTTACTAAGTTACTATTGGGGGGGGGGGGGCTGAGCTACAAGTCACAAGGCAAGAGAAGACAAAGTCACTGGGAAAGAGATGGAGCTGCTACCGGAGCGTGAGACGAGGGAAGCTTCTGGCATCACTCAGTCTGAGTGAGCAAGAGGAGCCAGGAGCGGCCCCGGCAGGACTTCAAAAGCACAGGCAGGACCGAGAGCCAGGTCCAAAGCCCAGATGCCCCCACCTTGTGAGAACTGAGGACAGTCTTCAGCTCCTCCAGGAGCCCACACGCCAGCTTAAAGCCCCCGACGGAGGAGAGCAGCTTGCGAACCGTCTGCTGGGCCTGCCTGCGGACGTGCCAGGTCCGGCTCAGGAGTACGGCCACCAGAGCCCGATGGTATTGCCTGCGCGCACAGGGGCAGCGATGGGGGAAGGCTGGAGCACCGAACTTGTCCACAGACAGCCCCTCTACCTGCCTTTCCCTAGTCCTCCCACCTCCCTCCTCAGAGATAATCCTCCTCCTGCCTCCCCCCACCCTCCCACCCTCCCCCTTACAGTCCCACTTCTCAAGGCTCACTGTCAAGAATAGCCTCATTTGGCCCCCATGCCCTCCCCCAAACAGGTCAGCCTCACATACTGCACAACTCTGCTTCCTGTGAGCCTCGGCGGGTGGTCCAGGAACAGCCTCTCCGTCAGATGCAGCACGGTGCACAGGGCTGGGAGGGCAGAGAAACAGAGGTGCTTTTCAAACACAGACGTGCACGCATGCATGCGAACGCGCATGCCTACAAAGGAAAAGAAACTTAACGACAAAATATCAATGCGACGATCACTGAATCACAAATCATGGGCTTATTCTAGATAAGTGTATCTTAATAAGGAACGGTTAGATACGTGCACCTTAATAAGGAATAGTATACACATTTTGGAATCATTTAGAAGCAGCACAGAACTCGGAAAAAGGTCTTAGGGAAGGAGCTCCAAGGATAGGCAGTACGGATGCAGCCACCTGACCGCATGTGTCAAAAGGGTAACAAACTGATAGCCATGTCAATATAAAATATCGATTTTTTTTTAAATGGGTCATCTCTGAGCCAGAAAAGCCCCAAAGGAAATAGTGCAATGTGAAGTAGAAGCCTTCAGGGCAGCTCAGCTCTGCTCCATAGAGTGGCTACAAGTTGGAAGGGACTGGCGGCACAGCTTTGATTTTACGAGCGTGAAATGGAAACTTGGGTGGGTAAGGCCTGAAGGAGGGGCAGGATTTTCAGGCTAGATCCTCCGGTACAAAGGGATTCCAAAACGTGCATGACCAGCTTTCATCATCTCTGAATTCCATTTTGCCACAAACTGTCTCACGCCCCCTCATCTATTTTAATTTTTTAAAATTATGTGACTCTCCCTATTTTAGAACTAGCGAAATTTTCTAAAGCTCGGGGACATGGGTAACAGTTGTAGTGCATTAATACGATGTTGTGATTTTTGAGTCAAAAGCCTTTTCAAACCGCCAATTAGCGGCAGACACCCTGAAGGCAATCTAGATTTTTTTTTTTAAACATACACTCGGTGATCAACTGTTCCTCTACTGCCGGGAGAGAAAGCAGCAGTTTGTGCGCTTCCTGCAGGGGGAGTGGTGCCGCCACGGCGCCCCCGAGCTTCGCAGCCACCTCTTCAACACAATTAACAAATCGGCTGTAATTACAGCTCAGGTCAGGCTCAAGCCCACAACCATTACCGCCGTCTCCATAAATCTCCAAGCCACCCCCTTTCCCGTGCTCTAGCTCCCCGACAGCCCAGCTGATGGCCGGATTTCCCGAGCCGACTAGGAAGGGTGCCCCTGGCTGGGTGGCTGGCGCGGCCCCATGTCGAGTTGGCTCTACGGGCAGTCACTCACCGTCCTCGGAAGCCAGCAGCAGGAACTTCTCGGACGTGAAAATCTGCTTTTTCTCATCCACAATCAGCTGCCAAAAGCTGCTCAGCTTGGCCTCTGCGGGGACACAAAGGCGCCCTTGGCTGCTTAGCCTGCCCACCAGGCCCTGCCCACCTCCTCCCCCTGGCCACTCCTACTGGCTTCGAGCCTGTGTCCAGCGTCACAACCTGTAGGAAAGCCTTCCAAGTCCTCTGTTGCCCACAGGAGCCTAGGCAAGCAGCTTCCCCCTTGGCACGCCCACAGACCCAGGGACCTGTGCAATGTGCTCCTTCACACACGCCACGCTGTCTCTGCTCTTCCCGCCTCTGGGCTGGCTGCCACTCGCTCACTCACACAGCCACCGAAACCCTCCCTAGCCCTCAACCTAGCTGCAATCTCTCCTCCAAAGCTGCTCATGCGGCACGTGCTGCAGCAACACCGTGCCTTCTCCCCCCTACACCCCGGGGCAAGTTCTGGGAAACGGCTGCAAACTGCTCTCATCCCTGCCAGGTCGACTGCGGGCCAGCCCAGGGCAGAAGGCGCCCGACTCCCTTTCTAATCACACCATGAGCTCTGATCCGTCTGCGCGACGTGATGGGGTTGGAGCCACGAATCCAATGGCAGGCCATGGAGCAGCAGCAAGGTTCTGCTCTGCTGTCTTGGGTTCATTTCTAGGATGTTCTCCGCGTGCGAAAGCGCTTTAAAAAGCCCTGGCACGTGCCGTTCTCTTGTCATTGTGTTCCGAGAGCTCTCAGAAGCCCCTGCTCAGTCTATGGCCAAGAGCCAGGTATCTGAGGGATTACTCATCAAACATCTCTGATGATGGCAACATATGTACAAACGGGCTTGATACAACAGATGTAGGATTGTCACAAGACCTGTAAGAGCCCTCAAGAAAATGTTTTTAAAAAAAAGCTTCTCTGGAGAGCAGTCCTGTCCCACTATCAGGCAAAAGGACCTGAATGGCAGGTGGGGCTGGAAGGAGGCTTCCCCTCATCTTCTACAAGGGGTACTTCAAACAGTGGGTGAAAAGATAGTGTGATGGCCCCTAAACTCTTCAAAAGGCGCTGGTACTCCTTTATGTCTGCTGCATTCTGTAGTCTGAACAGAAAGCCGATTGAAGGTCAGCCTGGGAGTTCTCCTCCAGCCCCGTCCCCAGAGCACCGCAGCAACAGGACAATGGAGGGCGGGCAGGTCCTCAGGCGCTTCCCTGCAGACCTGGTAAGTGGCCCTGTGGGACCCCATGTGGTAGGTGGCCAAGTGGATCTTGGAGTTCCCTGGACATCAGACACCGGTCCCCATGCACCTGCACATCCCAGGGTCTTACCAGCCTGCGCATCAGCCACTGACAGCTTGGTGAGCAGCAGCGCCGCGGCAGCCCCCTCCGTGACCATGGGCACCTGCGTGCTTTGGGAGGCTGCCTTCTCCACAGTCTGGATGAGCAAGGGCAGGAAGTCCAGGGCCTGGAACAGCGTGTCACCTGAGGGCAGAGGACAAGCAGCTCAGACAGGCCGGAGCTGCGGGGTGACAGGAGCACCTGCGAGACACGTGACCTGTCTGGGTCTGAGCTGCCGGCCCAAACCCTGCTGTTCACTTTGCAGGCCTCACCGGCAAAGAAGCAGATCTGGAGTCAGAGCAGAGAGCCAAACTGCAACTGTGAGACCAGAGCGAGAAGGATCCACACAAATCAAACCGTCCAGCCAGTCAACGGATGGACAAGGAAATGGGGATGTGAGCTGCTCCTCGTCACCGCGCCCAGCAGCCCGCCAGTAAGGCTCCCAAGGCCTACCCAATTGCCCTTGCCCACATACCAAAACCAGAGCCCACCTGCCAGCCTGGGAACTAAACCCACGAAGGAAACGCAGGAACAGGCTAAAACCACAGCTGGGCCCCTATGTTTTCCTAACTACGCCAACGGGAACAGCAAAACCTTTCCACAGTGACACTCCTACTTCCCTCAGCTGCCATCAGGCACTGAGATCTGAGAACGCTTAGTGTCTATTCCAAGTCCTCTCGTAGCACGAGCTGAAGTGACGAAGCCCAGCCACGCCTGGGTCGTCTAGGAGCTCGGCCTGAAGCTGGTCAACAGCATAAGGACAGTGTGACGTAGGTACACCCCGCTGGACAATCAGGGATGTAAGGAGGGACATGAGGAGGTGCCTCTGTCCCTCAGAGAGCTGACACTGCGTCACCGTGCAGTCAAGCCGCAGTGCCTGGGGCAGTGCGCAGACCATGGGGTCCACTGCGCGAGACGGGTTCACAAGAGAGCCCTTACTACTCTCCCCTCTTCCGTTTAGTGCCACCCCCTCCTCCCGCTACTCTTCCAAAGAAATGCAGAGGTGCAAAGTTCATCATCAATGGCACACTTCACACAGGATGACCCTGGGGGGCGGATCTGGAATCCTGTGGGGGTTGTTCATGCACTGCTCAGTGGTGGCACTACTCTTGGTCCTGCTGTGCACAATCGACCACATCCAGCGTTCCGGTCCCAGCTCCCAGAAGAACAAGCGCTCCCACCCCTCAAAACCTCCTGGGAGCGTTGGTTTCTGTTGAAGATCTATTCCCGTCTTCTCCTAAGAGGAGAATCATACCCTATCTGTCCTTTTGTGACTGCCATGCTGCCCACCCTCAGCACCATGCCCACCACATTCATTCTCCTGCACATGCTTCCAGCGCGCACCACGAAGCCTCGGGGTGACTTTCAAAAGCACACCATTAGGCGTCTGAATCCTTTTCAAAAGAAACACGGCTTAAGGCAGAGAAGGAGAGGGCCAGAGAATCTGCCGTGGAGACCAAGCACCCACACGTGGAAGGCTCCCAGCTCTGGTCTGGAACAAAGACTAAGAGAGTCGGACCTGTACTATGTGAACTATGTGACAGAGGTGTGTCCCCAGGCATTCAGGCAATGCAGCAAGGGGGTTTGGCCAGGGTCGGTCCTCCTTCAATTAAGGTCCAAGCTTCGAAGGTCTGATCAGGAGAGAAACAGGGTCCGATTCTGGGCTTCAGTGGCAGCTGGCTCTAGGCAGCCCTGGGGGGAAACATACTAACAGAAGGGGTAGCGGCTCACACCCACCAGCCACCGTGTGTGAGAAAAACGGGGCACCCTTCACCATAAACGTTCCAGCCTTGGAAAGCCTGGGGCGGTTCTCCTCAGTCCTACCTGCGTACTCCAAGTCCCTAACAGCAGTCTGGCCTGCTTCTGCTCCACATGCAAGGTGACCATGACGAAAACCAGAGTTCCAGAAGAAACGATACAGACATTGCCCGAAGAGGAACGCTGGATACCGTGAGTGGCTAGAAGGCCCGGCCATTCTCTTACAAGGAAGGCCTGAACATGGGCCCACAGGAAGGCTCTTACCTCGGAAGGAGGCCAGCATGCACTGCAAGTAGGCGTGCCTCACTGCTGAGGTGGAGGTTTTAAGGCTGAAAGCTTTCTTGAACCACTCCATGAGCTTCTTGGGTACTTCCGTGGTGAACCGGTTACACCAGAGAGCCAGGATGGAGACGGCATGGACTAAGGTGCCTTCGTGAACTAGAGCAAGAAGCAGAGCCTGGGTCAGCCCCGGCCTATAACCAGGTCAGCCACGGCAAGCTCAGGCAAGCAAGCGGACCACCGTGGAGCGAGAGCAATCACGAGAATGCGCTCTGCAGAGGGGGCTCCGGCTGGGAAGCCTTTCTTCAGGAGGGTGGGGAGTCCAAACTGCACGCTCAGCAGGGTGCATGGGACGGATTACCTTCTTGCTGGAGGAATGGGATGAACAGTTCGGCCACAGTCCCATTCAGGACTTGACTGGAAGGCCCGGACACCACGTGGTGGCTGATACTCCCGATCCCTGAAAGCCAGAAGATGCCTCCCTGCTCAGGCCCTGCCGAGGCCCACCTCACCCACCAAGTTCTCTGTGCAGGCTCACAGCCCTCCGCTCTTCAGACTGCCCAGCAGTGCTGCCTCTTTACATCCTGCCCATTACAAACCCTCCCTCCCAAGCTTCCTGCCCAATAAGGAAGCCAGGCAGGCCTCCCACTAGACTTGCCAGCCCTGCTTGCGGGGCGAGATGGATGTCCAAGGGCATCCATCAAGGGATCCCCGGCCCAAAGGTGGGCTCGTCTTGCCTAACTTCACACTCCACTCGCCCAGACCAGACCCCGCTTCCTGCCAGCACCCAGGGCCAAGGGTCTACCTGAGAGGACGCTGATCTTCTGGGTCACAACGGTCAGTTTTCCTTCTGAGCCTGAAAGAGAAACGAGTGAGAGCCACGTCTGCCAGAGAAACCACCCACCAACCGGCGGTGTCACCATGGCGTCTTTGCCGGCCATTCTCTCCTTGTGCCCACCGGCCGCTGCCCTGCCTCCTAGCACGGGGCTCCCTCTAGCTCATGGGCTTCCTGCAGCCCGAGCACAGCCCTTCCTGCTGCCTCACTTCTATCTCCCAAGCCAAACGTGCTGGGCGGCTGGGAGACGCACACGTGTGTGGTGTTGTCAGTGTTGCACAGTAGTTCTCTGCGTGATCTTACCACAATCGAACCATTTCCCTATGACCGGACATTTTGGTAGCTTCGGGCGTGGGAGCTGCTCTGAAGATCCTTGTTTTTTAGCAAGAAATTCACATTTCCCCTTTGGGGAAATGTGGGTGATGGACTTGTGGACATGACCCCGGGGATGGACCTTCGGGTGTAAAGGTGGGCTGACATAATGCTGGCGAGGCTGTGGCTGCCAAACAAAAGAAGCAGATCCGCTCCCAAACAACAGAAGCAGATCCGCTCTCAGAGAAAACTGAGGGAGTAAAAAAATATATATATAGACATAGATGCGAAAAACTCACTGCACCAAGATGCTATGAATTCAGGGGGATAAGCAACAGCAACGTGGGACCGTGTAAAATATGAAACTAAAAATAACTGATAAATTATCGAGGGTTCACAGGGTTGGGAGGGTGGAGCAGGAAGGGGAAAATGAGGACCTGATACCAAGGGCTCAAGCAGAAAGGAATTGTTTTCGAACTGTTGATGACAACATATGTACAAATGTGCTCGATACAATGGATGTATGGATTGTTATAAGAGGTGTGAGAGCCCCCAATAAAATGATTTATTAAATTTTTTTTAAATGTTATGAATTTTGAATTACTATTAGTACTAATGTTATGCCTACTACTTAAAATGTTATTAGCTACTGAAAGTTGCTAATTACAAGGTCAACAGTTCGAGACCACCAGTTGCTCCTCGGGAGAAAGACAGGCCTTCTATTCCCATAAAGAACTAGTCTCAGAAACTCTGTGGGGCGGCTCTACCCTGTCCTATAGTCACTATGAGTCAGCACCAACTTGACGGCAGTGAGTTTGGTGTGGTTTTGGTTTGGGGGGCACCTCCCCCTAGTTTCTCTGCTGTGCATTTAGAGATGTACAAACTGAAAGAGGAACCACATCTCAGGCCATGATGTACACCCCTGGGTCCCATCTCACAATCCTGATGCACACCAGGTCCCCACACTTCAGGCAGCCTGCTGAGCAGACCGGGAGTGCCAAGCGCCAGTTCAGATCCTGGCATCTACAGGAAGGCTGGGGCCGAGCCCGGGCCAGTGCCCGTGGCCAGGATGATGGGCTCACCTCCGAGGATGGCGAACAGGTGCTTGCTCAGGGTTTCCATCGCTGAAGAGTCACTGCACTGGCGGGCCAAGTTCCGCAGCGCCAGCACGGCCTCGTCCATCAGCCGGGGGCTGTTGGATTTCAGCTGACCTGGACACAGAGAGACGCTGCTCAGGGCAGCTCGGCCACGGAGTGTCTACATAATCACCAACTTCATCTTCTCTGGTCCCAATGTTTTAATCAAAGGCCCCACACGTCCTCACTGCAAAAAGCCTCAAGGCACACACTATGCAAATGGTGTCCTAAGTAAAGCTCTATCTCAGTGGTTCTCTACCTTCCTCATGCCAAGACCCTTCCATTCAGTGCCTCATGTGGTGGTGCCCCCCAACCATAACAATATTTTCATTGCTACTTCATAACTGTAAGTTTGCTGCTGTTATGAATCGTCATGTAAAATCCGATAGGCAGGATGTATTTTGGTTACAAATTGAACATCATTAAAGCATAGTGATTCATCACAAAAAAACAGTATGCGATTCTATAATGTGAAATACTTACTTCTAATGACAAATAAATGAAATTTTGTCTTGAAGCAATGTGTAGCATGAGTTAACATCGCATGTGGGCGTTTCTACATGTGGGCGGACCCACCTGGAGACAGATGAAGGAGCTGTGTCTCAGTTCCTAAGACCATCAGAAATACGTGGTCTTAGGCGACCCTGGTCGGTGGACACCCAAAGGGGTCACGACCCACAGGTTGAGAACTGCCGCTCTCCTTCTAATGGGAGCTGTCCCCCTTTCCATAAGAACTGGGACCAGAATATCCAAAACCCAAGGCGCAGCCATTGAGCCTATATATAGCAGGGTAGGGTACTCACTGGCCAGTCCTTTCACGATGTCCAGGGCATACTGGCTGAGATCCAAGGTCACTGAGGCCAGCAGACAAGAGATAGCTACGGGGGCAGGAAGTACTGAGCAGTCAGTATCGAGCACAAATGCCCATTTTCCCTCAGTCCCTGACAAATGCCATCAAGCACTGTGTCCAGCCTGGCTTGGAATCTTGAGGCTCTTCTCCTTAGTCTAGAGGGCCACAAGAGTGGTCATGTCTTTGTCCCAAAATTTTGCTGAAGCGCTACCCTGCTCCTTCCCAATCAACTAAAACTGCCCCTCAACATCCCACTTTTCCCCAAGAGAAGCAGAGACCAACCCTCATGTCCTGTGGGCCCAAAGGCCACTTCCACCCTAAGTTCAAACAGTCTACAGCAGTGTTTGAGTCTCCAGAAGGTTGTTAGACCCCACACTTTGTCGACAATCCTCTAAGTCAGAGGTCAGCAAACTTCTGAGACAGAAAAGCCAATCCTGTTCCGCGCCACAATTTAAAAAATTTTTGAGAGCCAGAGTACCTGTTTATAAATAAGGAAAATTTAAAGTAATATTATAAATGAAACTATGAAAGTTTTATTTTCATTTTCAGTTTGACCTCAGTAACACATCGGCACCAAGAGAGCCGCAGTTTGCTGACGCCAGTGCTAAGTGGCTACTAAACTTTAACTTTACGAAGTTCTTTCCAAAAGCTGATGGAAATATTCTTTTTACCTATTTTCCCCCCCATAAATTTTTTGAAGCCCCCTCAGTCTCTAAAGGGTCTCCAATTTCCCTCCCAGAGTCCCAGTGAGGGAAAAAAAATCTTTAACCAGCACTTCCTACTACCCAGCATCAAGGGGTACAGATCACCCAGCAACGTGTCTCCCTCCCCAGCTCCCGCTGGGCAGCAACCCACTTTCCACAACATTCTCTGGACTCCGCAGCAAAGACTTCTGTATGGTGGGCAGAATCAGGTCCTTAAACTCCGAGTGGGACAGGTACCGGAGCAGAGGGGCACAGCTATCCTGCAAAGACAAGAGAGTCAGGCCCGCAGCGCCCAGCGGCGTAAACCAGCCCAGATCAAAGGGATGCCCGAAATCAGAGCATTTTCTCTGGGGCTTGGCCTGCGCAGCCGCATCTGGTCTACCTCGCACTCACCAGCAGGTACTTGTGAGGCTTGACTTTGCTCATCAGAACGTTCTTCGTGTAAAACTCCAGCAGGGCACTCTAGGGAACACAAGGCCCTGGTTGGAGGCTGCCATTTCTACGTCTCTGGACACTGGCCTCCCAGATCTCACAACGTGAAATAAACCGAGGCCCCACATTTCCCGGCACCTGGCACACCGTGCTCACGGATCGTCCTGTACCCCGCTCAAAGGCTTCCACGGCTTTCCACTGCTCCGAGGGGAACGCCGAAACTCCTCGGCCTGGCTTAGTAAAAGGCCTCGCCTGCTACCTGGCCAATTGCAGCTAACACCTTTCTTACCCACTCCCACCACCGCAGCCCCACGCGTCTCCTTCACGCTCCTTCCCGCGCGCTTCCTCGGCCTAAAATGCTCCTCCGTCCCCTTGACCTTGTTGACTCCTACCCACCCTGACCGTCCAGTCCGTACTCACCATTGCCAAGTCCAGTCCCCCTCAAGGACACACCCCCATGTGCACAGTGAGGCTGCTCACCCAGTTCCCAAGGCTGCGTGTGGCCTTTCTGCCCAGGTGCCTCTACATAGCTTCCAACTGCCAGCCTTCCAGTTAGCTGTCATGTGCATATCCACTCACGCCACCCTGAAGGACCCCTTCGTTTGAGACTCAACCCTGACCTGGGTCTCCTCGGGTGCCCTTGTTACAGTAGCTTGGCGCCCTGTCCTTTTCCTTTGCAGCACTGCCAAAGAAAACCCACTGCCAAGGGGTCTATTCTGACGCATGGCGACCCAACGGGGCAGGGTGGAACTGCCCCTGTGGGTTCTCAGGACTGTCATTCTTTGGGGGAGTAGGCCTCCTCTTTCTCCCAAAGAGCTCCTGGTGGTTTCGAACTGCTGACCATGCGGTTAGCAGCCCAATGTGTAATGACTACTCCACCAGGGCTCCTTTGTAGGACTCATTCGTTCACCTACTCACTCACTGCCATTGAGTCGATGCCAACTCACAGTGACCTTAGCCGAGCGTAATTAAATAGGCCTCAGACTCTCCTTGCATGCAGGTTCCAGAGGAACAGGTTTGAATCACCCTCCTCACTGCAGCATCTCTATCACCCAGCAGTACTGGGCACATGGTAGCTGCTCACCTAGGGGTGAACGCATGAATGAGCAAATCCAACTTTCACCCCAAACCCTCCATCAGTCTCCGCCCCAAGTCAGAGCGGGAGGGTAAACTGAACAACTTCCTGACCTCACGTATCATAGTAAAGGGCTGGGGGCATCTGAAGCTCATGGGAGAAATGTTCGGGTGGGGCGAGGCCCCTGGGGCTGCTAGCCCCACTCTCTCACTCCCCTCAGGCCACGGCGGGTGACGGACGGGCACAGCTTGGCCGCCCGGCTCTGCACTTGCCTTATGTCGGCTGACCACGTCCATCTCCTTGTGGTTCGTGCAGAAACGCACCAGCAGCCCCAGCATGCCCGCATAGCTCTGGCTGGGCTCCAAGCTAAGGATGGCCACCACGTACTGCTCCACCAGGCCGGCGTTCTGGAGAGCAGAGGGCGAGGCCGCTAGCTCAGATGGCAGTGGGGAGCCGGGGCAGACGCAGCGAAGCCCACCAGCCCCGCTTGCTCCTGTCACCTCTTTCCACAGCTTGGTGAGCTTCTTCACGGCGCCGTCCACGGCGTGCCTGTGGGAGCCGCCCAGCACCTCCAGCAGCAGCAGACACTGCACCTCCACCTGCCAGGAACAGGCCATACGGCCAGGTGTGAAACGGGACCAGGTATCCGCCGCCGCTCCCAGCCTGCCCTAGACCTTCCGCAGGCCCTCCAGAACCTGAGCCTCTCCCACTCTGTCTGACACTGCTCAGCCCGGCTCTGTCCTTAGAATCCATCGGTCACACGCTTATTCCTTAATTAAATTCAACTTAGCGAGCCAAGGAAGCCCCGTGGGAGTCAGACAGACACAGCCCCATGAAGCCAGAGCACAGGGAACAGATGCTAGTCAATGAAGAGCCAGGGGGCTGTACAGCTTCCTTCCGGGAAGGGCTTCTCCAGCCTCTGTGATTTCACCTTCGTTCATTCCACAATGTCCACTGCACACCAACTACACAGCAGGCCCTGGGCTAGGCGCCATGGCCGAGGACAGGAAGGCCAGCAAGGGAACCCCGGCCACTGTGGAGCAGGGGGAGGTGTAAAATGGAAACCATGCACAGCTTTGTGTGCCGCCAATGGCCAGGGACACCGGGGAGCCGTGCGGACAACCATCATGGAGGAAGAGGCCTGCCCCTGTCGATGCCTCTGTGACCAGGGCGGAAATGCCATCAACGTGGGGCCAGCCACGCACGCACACTGGGGCGTCCATCTACTCCACTTGGAGGACACAGAAACAGTCGTAAGGGATGAGAGAAGACTCTTAGCAGTTCTGGCACCAAACCCCAAAATCGGTTAGAAACAAAAAAAAGTGACAAAGTATGTGCTGGGTGCAATTGTGTATCTTTTTGAAGAATTTTAAGAGTTTCTTTTTTTGACACAGAGTGAAAACTGTAACCAGTATGTCTGAAGTGACTGGACGCAGTGTCCAGCAGTGGCCTCAAACACAGACAAATGCGGGGCCTGCATCTCTGTGAGTCTGACGAGGACACTGGACAAGCTCTTCGATGGGAATGGCACTGGATGCATAAACCTTCATCGTAGGTGAGGGAAAACGACAGAAATGACACCCGCGCACATGTGTACAGAGACTGGATCAGGAAAGAGGCACAGGAAACCAGGAACAGAGAGAGGTGGGAGGCTAGAGGGTGGGGTGGGGAAGAAAGCGAGCGTATGCTTCCAGACATGTTGGATTTTCTTTAAAAATTATAAATCCAGTCATCTTTAAGCTTTTTTCTGGCACCACATTCCAAGTGGCCTGGCTGTGTCCTCCCTCGGGAAGGTGCCCAGCCCGCATCTGGGCAGCTTGCTCCACTCTGCTCTCCGACAGCCTTGCTCCCCCACCCCCCACCCCCCTCCTGCCCGGCTATTCTTCAAGGTTCCTTTACACAGTCGGGATCTGTTAACTGACTCATTTCTTATCTATTCCACAGGAAGGGACGCAGGAGCCCTGCTATCAGTCGTGGCTTAAAAGCTGGCTTGCTAACTACACGGTCACTAGTTCAAAAGCACCCGCTGCTCCCTGGGGAAAAGAAGAGGCTGTTTAATCCCATGACGATTTAGTCTCAGAAAAGCCACAGGGTCTGTCAGTGTTGACTCAGTGGCAATGAGTTTGGGGGCTCACACGTGGGCCTGGCTGTGAGCACAGAGGAGGCTGGGCAGTTCACGGTCAGCGGCTACCAGTCAGGGGGGACTAAGCAGCAGCCAGGTCAAGACTGAATTCCAAGTGCCAGGAGAAGAAAACAATCAGCCACTGACTGAGATGACTGCATTGCCTGGCTTGCTGGCTCGCCATGGCTACTGCATTTCCCAGGCAAGCAGGGCCACATGGCTCTTGGTCATCGCTCGGTCCCCAGGCTCAGGCCCAGGCCTGGCACTTAGAAGGCTCTCCAAGGCGTTAGGACACCATTAGGTTGCACTCTTGGCTGTCCACACGCTCTGGAACGACGTCGGGACCTGCCTCCCAGAA